GTCTCTAAAGATCAAAGAGAACTACAGATTCTAACTCAGGCATGCAAACTTGCCTTCCTAGATGTTGCTTAGATGTAGTGAGATGGTAACTGGGACATGGTTCTGGAAGGCTAGACATTATTTAAGAGAAGCAGGATAAGGAAAGGGGAGTGGGGAATAGATTGAGGAGCACTATATATCAATAAGATAGGCTCATGAGGGGAAATTCCTGAACCAGAGGCAGGAAACATAGTGGAGACCATCTGGGGAGAGATCAACTGAGGCTTCAGAAACAAAGGCAATATTATCACCAGAGTACACTATAAACCACTTGTACTAAAAGAGGAAATAGATGAGGGACTTGGGAAATCATGTCTGTCATAGATACTTGATATAACAGGGGATAGGGGCCTTCAATTTTCCAGACTCTGACTGCAGATCTCTCTCTCTATTTCTCTCTCTCTCTCTCTCTCTCTCTCTCTCTCTCTCTCTCTCTCTCTCCTTCTCCCCCCTCCCCTTTTTTCTCCCCTTCTTCTTCTCCCTCCCCTACTCTTTTTTCCAAAACTGCACAGCTAATAATTTTGTGTGTTGATTTAATAATATTTCATCATTCAAAAAGTAGAGGAACCAATGAAAGGAAACTACCATTCTGAATCTCATTCTCAGCAACAAGGAGGAACCATGTGCTGGGGTGGAAATGATGCAACCTTGGTGGTAAGAACCATTCATTTTTAGAATTTCTGACTTAAAGAAGAAAAAAATCTAGGCATAGTCTGACATGCCCCCTAAATTTGAGGACAACAGATTTCAAAGAATTTAGAAGAAGGTTTAGGAGGACTGCATGGTATGAAATTCTACAAGGGGAAGTTAGCCCAGGAGGATTGGGAAGTTCTTGAGAATGAAATCATGAAGATATAAAGAGAAATACTTCTGATGAGAAGAAACGGAATGGCTGTTTACAGAGACTGATGCAGATTTGCAGTGACCTCATCAAAAAAACTTACATCTAAAAAATTTTATTTAGTTAGTTTTCGTTTTCAACATTCACTTTCGTAAGATTTTGAGTTCTAAGTTTTTCCCCATACCTCCTCCCCAAGATGGCATGTAATCTGACATAGGCCATACATATACAATCATATTAAACATATTTCCATATTAGTCATGTTGTGAAAGAAGAATCAGAAGAAAAGAGGAAAACCATGAGAAAGAAAAAGAGAGAGAGAGAGAAAATAGTATGCTTCAATCTGCATTCAGACTCCATAGTTCTTTCTCTGGAGGTAGATAGCATTTTCCATCATGAGTCTTCTTTGCATTGCTGTGAAGAGCTAAGTCTATCAATGGTGGTCACCACACAATGCTACTGTTACCGTGCACATTGTTTCCTGGTTTTGCTCACTTTACTCAGCATCAGTTCATGCAAGTCTTTCCAGGTTTTTCTGAAATCTGCCTGCTCATCATGTCTTATGGAACAATAGTATTCCATTACAATCATATATCACAATTCATTCAATCATTCCCCTCAGTTTGCAATTCTTTGCCTCCACACCAAGAACTACCATAAATGTTTTTGTATAGGTGGGTCCTTTTCCTTTTTTTATGATCTCTTTGGGATACAGATCTTATAAGTGGATCAAAAGGTATGCATCATTCTAAAATGCTCTCCAGAATGGTTGTATCAGAAAAAAACTTAGATTTTTAAAACAACTTATAGAAGATAGAAGCAAGGGGTTGTTATTTGTCCTTCATTTCAGAGGATCAATGGTATCATGGGTGATGTCTTGACTTGTGTGTGAACTGAATTGAAGAGAGGCAGAGCTGCACAAAGTCATCAGCCTCTTTCTGTCTTCTAGAATCATCCAAGTCCAGTGACAAGACAAAAGTCAGGATGACTGGTGATTGCCTGGGATACAATGGATCCCCTTGGCATCTTTGATGTCTGACCAAGCTCTAAGCCTTCATGGTCATTGGAACAAATTGTTCTCATCCTCCCATTGTGGGAAATCTTCACATTTTTGGGGTAGACATCACCCTAACTCAGGTTTCAGGCCTGTCGGTTACCCTCAACCTGGTTTAGCCTGTCTGCCAAGATGGTTTTGCCAGGGTGTGGCTGCTCCTCATGTTGTAGCTTCTTGGAGCCATAAGTGGTGATTAGGTGAAAGGTGTACACCAAAGGGTAAGAGATTACGAATACAAAAACATGGCACTGTCCTATGAGGATAGTGTCAGGAATGCTTAAATTCAGAATTACTTGTGGTCGCAAATGAAGCTATGAACAACAAAAAAATTTAAGCTGTATTAGGGAGTAGAGGCAGACCAAACATGGATCAGGAATTGCTGCTTGGGGCAGAGGAAATGATGATAACTTGCAGGGTCAGCCAGGTGGCACAGTGGATAGAGTACCAGTCCTGGACTCAGGAGGACCTGAGTTCAAATCTGGCCTTGGACACTTACTAGCTGTGTGACCCTGGGCTAGTCATTTGACCCTATTTGCCTTAAAAAAAAAACAACTGGTGATAACTTACAGCAAAGAGAATGTAGAACTGCTCAACTATTACTTTAATTCTGTTTTCTTTTCCAAAGAGAAAGATATTTGAACCAGAAAGGATGGGAAAAAATGTGTAATAGGGAGTTGATAGACAAAGAGATGAGATGAGAGCACCTGTCTACCTTTGAGGACTTGAAGACAGGGGGGCCAGTTATTAAATATTATAAGCTTTGGTTATAGAGGCAGTCAGTTATCTCTGAAAGAACATGGAGAGCAGGCAGAATACAACAGGACTAGTAAAGGGCAAATGTTCTGATTTCCAAAATAGGGAAGAGAAGGAAGTCTGCAAACTATAGGCTAGCAAGCTTGTCTTTGAATCCTGGAAAAATTCAAAGACATTTGACAAAGTCTCCAATATTATTCTTATTGGAGGGAAAGGCAGTGGTGGGGGAGAGCTGATAGTCCAATTAGATGGATTAGGGCTCTTTGAATGTCTGGACCCAAAGAATACTCACTCATGATTCTATGTCATCTCTAGTGGAGATCTTTAGTTCAGAACTACAGGGATGTGTGCTTGGCTCTGTGCTGTCTAACATTTGTATCAGCGACTTGGATGATAAAATCATAGGTGGCATGCTTATCAAATTTGCAGATGACTCAGAGTTACGAGGGCTAGCTTACATGTCAGAAGAGGGTCAGGATTCAGAAAGATTTTGACAGTCTAGAACTTTAGGCCAAATCTAAAGAGGCATAGTTTAATGGGGATAAATGTAAAGCGTTAACATAAATTTTTTTTAAAAAAAGTACAAGATAAGCTAAGTATGGCATGACAGAAGTTCTTCTGAAGAAGGTTTTAGGTTTTTAGTGGACTACAAGCACAATATGAAACAACAGTGTGAAGGAAAAAAAACTAAAAAGAACCCTGATTTTAAGCTACATTAAGAGAGACTTAGGGTATAAGACTTGGGAAGTGATGGTCGTGCTAAGCTCTATCCTGATCATGAAAAGGACGTTGCTAAACCAGAACATGCTGAGTGAAGGGAGGGTGACTAGGATGATGAAGATCTATGGAGTCATGCATTCCAGAACCAGCTGAAAGAACTGGGACGTTTAGTCCGAGGAAGAGAAGACTAAGTGAGGCCATGATAACTGTTTTCAAGTATTTGAAGGCATGTTCCTTGAAAGAGAGATTAGCTTTATTTTGCTTGGCCCCAGAAGGCAGAAATAAGAACAATGGATGGAAGCTGAGAAGAGGCAAGTAGTGGCTAGATTTATGGAAACAAAAACCAAAACTCAACTTTCTGCCAATTAAAGCTACCTAAAAGTGGAATGGACAGTTTCCTAAATTGTGAGTCCTTCCGCATTGCAGGTCTTCAAGTAAAAGCTGGATGATGACTTATTGCATATAGTTAGAGGGAATTCTTATTCAGGTGTCCCGATGGCCTCCAAGGTTCTTTCCAGCTGGGAGATAATGATTCTGATATACACACCACTTGAGCAACCCTTACACTTCAAGGGAAGAAGAAAAGAAAAGAAAAAAAACCCCTCAACCCTGGAAACCTGTTTATTTCCCAGATAGCAAAGGTTAAGCAGATGTAACCTTTTCTTACATTTTTTGCTTAGGGATCCAGTAGCTAAACTCTGAACACTGAGCTCACTAGATAGCAACTCTTTTATGCTAAAAAGTGCAGATGACCCATCATTCTCCACAGTAGCATGCCTTCCATCTAGAAAGGTGTTTAGAATCCACCATCCCAAGAGCATCACAGGAGAAGCCTTCCTGGATCAATGTATAAATCAGCAATGTTGACTCCTGAGACAAAGGGCCAGCTGAGCTGCCTGTCTACAGTCAGAGAAGTTACCAGGTGCTGGCTGAAGTGACTTACTGTGTATCTTTACTAAGGATGGGGCCAATTGATTTAACAATTATTTTGCTTATTTTGTCTTATGGTTCCTTGTTGTTGTCATTGAGTTGTGTCCGACTCTTTGTGACCCAATGTGAGGTTGTCTTGGCAAAGATACTGGAGTGGTTTGCCATTTCTCTCACTCATTTTACAGATGAGGAAATTGAGGCAAACAGGGTTAAATACTTGCCCAGGGTCACACAGCTAGTAAGTGTCTCAGGTCAGGTTTTAACTCAGGAAGATAAATCTTCTTGATTCCAGGTGTAATGCTCTATCTACTGCACCACCGAGTTGCTCAACACTTAACATTATTCACAGAGTACCCAAACTCCAATCATTTACCAAATATGGTTTCCCTGACCCTTTCAACATCGCTGTGATATGCTAAGGAGAGCATATGCTTTGTTGAAGCAGTCAACTCTTGGTTATTTTTGCAATAATGGCTGGGAGTAGAGCTGATCCAAAATAACAGATTAAAAACAAAAACAAAAACAACTCACTACCGTTTGACTCAGAAAAGTGATTCTGTAATTATAGTGGTCTCTGGGTGTGTCTGATATTCTGACATTTCAATGGGAAATAATGAAACTGTATGATGAAGACTCAACTCAAGAACTATCCAGTTTCCTTACCTCAGGAACAGGTCATCCCTTCCCTTCTCTCTATGGTCAAAGTGAGATCTTCCCTGGAGCAATGGGGGAGTTTAAGTTCCTGGGTTTCAAAGCGTTCTCTGCAGGAAATAAAAAGGAGCAACTCTTTATAAAGTGGATTAAGCCAGATCCTTGGAGGATGAGGAAAGGTCAACAAAGACAGCCTTAAGAGAACTAACTACTCTCGAAGCAATAACAACAAACAGATCCTCTTCTAGATAACAAGATTTGCTGTAGATAACAATAAACATCCTTGGGAAGTTCCTGGGCTTGCTGCCTTGGACAGGGGCCACCAAGAGTCAGAGGACTCCACAGGAGCATTCTAAGAGCTCATCTACTTTAGAGACATTGTGGCACTGGAAAGGGATGCTTGAAAGAGTTTGGACTTTTTGTTAAGAACTATAGGAAGCCAGAGATTACTGAGTAATGGTTGACTCCCAAGAAAGGGACCTGCTTTTTCCTAGCCAAAAATTACCTCGGTAGTAATGTAACAAGGTCATTGTCCTTATCTTCAGCTGAACCCTTTTAATGATATAAATTGGTAGCAACTTTGGCCACTCTCCAAGACTAACCAGGGAGGAGGAGGAGGAGGAGGAGGAGGAGGAGGAGGAGGACTGTTCCTCTCAGAGACCCCTTTCATAGGTTCCCAAAGTGGGCGATACCACTCCAAGGGGGCCCTGGAAGGATCCAGGGAGGGTCTATAGAAGACTCAGGTGCAATTGGAGGCCATTGAATAAAAAATAAGGGAACAGTGGAAGCATAAAGAAAGAAGAGAAGAAAATTTTGAAAAACCATTCATACATGTTTCATCTGTTGTGTAACAGAATTAAAGTCGTCATGATTACATTATTTTCCAATCAAAATGCAAGTTATAATCTATCAGTGCTCAAGTCCAATAATAAGCAAGTGTTGTCAGGTGAGTGTGTTTTGCATTGTTGGGAAGTCCAACATGCAGAGAACAAATATGTACATGTAATGACTTGTTTATGATACGATACTATAGGTTACATGACACAATATTGTGTCATCAACATTTCAATGCAGGAAAAAACCCCACAAATTTACAATAAATTATTAAATATAAGATGCTTCAGTTTTTTTTAAAAAAAATTTATATTTTTTGAAATTATGCAAATTAAAAACATTGAAGGGTTAAAGAAAGTCAATTTCCAGGAGGGCACTGAGTAATTTTTTTGAAAAGGGGGTGGTAGGCCAAATAAGTTTGGGAACCTCTGCCACAGATGGAAGTAGAACTTCTGGCGACCCAGCTCTGAGCATACTCCCCAATGAATAGCCATTCCTTCTTCCTTTCTGATCTGGAATCTATTTGGCTTTGATTCCGTGGAAGCTCCTAGCACCTATTTCCTTCTCCATGTCCTATTCAGATATGAATTTTGAAAGTACCAGAATTGTCTAGTGAAGAGATTTTTTCTGTAGGACTCCAATGCTTGCCCTTGGTGCCATCACCTCTCTGTTAGAGGAGAACAACATACTTCATCATATGTCCCATGACCAATGGGACTGCTCAGAGTTCTTAAGTCTTTCAAAGTTGTTTTTCTTTACAGTATTGTTGCCCTTGAAAAAAATTATTCTGGATCTGCTCTCTTCATTCTGTATCAATTCATATTACCCAGGATTTTCTGAAATCTACTCTTCTGTCATATTCTTAAGGGATAATAATATTCAATTACATTAACATATAACAATTTGATTAATCATTCTCCAATTTATGGGTACCCCCTTAGATTCTATTTCTTTGTTTTTAATTTTTCCACCTTCAGGATCAAGAAGCTTGTTTTGCTTTTGTCCATTCCCTCCCTCACATTTGTTGTTCAACCATTTCAGTTGTGTCCAACTCTTCGTGTCTCTCTTTAGGAGTTTTCTTGGCAAAGATACTAGAGTGGTTTTGCCATTTCTTTCTCCAGCTCATTTTGCAGATGAAATAATCAGGGTAAACAGAGTTAAGGGACTTGGCCAGAGTCACATAGTTTGTAAGTATCTGAGGCCAGATTTGAACTTAGGTAGATCTTCCTGACTCCAGGAATGGTCCTCTATCCATTGCACAACCTAGCTCATATTAACCTCCTCTTAATTGCCTCCCAAAACATCCCCACTTGTTTCCCTGTTGAGTTTTGATATATTTCTACAAGTTCTGTGTGTGTGTGCGTGTGTGTATGTGTGTGTGTGTGTGTGACCCTCCTCTGTCTCTTTAGATCAGGGTTTTCACCTGATACCCACTCCCCTTACCCTTTCCTCCTAGCCAGCACATAGTAGGCACTGTATTAATGCTAGCTATCATCATCATCATCAATGCATCCCAATGATGACAAATAACAAGTTCCATCCTCTTCTTCCTCTTTTCCATACTAACATATTCCTCCTTTTACTCCTCCTTTTATTTCTTAAAACCTTCAGAACCTTCAAACAGAAGCAATTTTCTTCCTGCCTGGGATACCTTCTCCACCCTTCCTACATACAGAGAAGCTGATGGCTTTTTTTTTTTTTGCCAGTGCTGGTATTGTTGTGCTGAAGACTCCCTTTCCTATTGCCCATATACTTCCTGATGATTTTTTGTGCAGTTTGGGGGTATAAGTCATATTCTGTCATTTCTCATTGGATTTCTGGATCATGATTTTTGTCTGGTGCAATTTTCAGGTTCTCCTGTAGCAGGTATATAGAATCTTGGTGGTATGCCTCCATTCAGGAAGTAATCTTGGCCTGAAGTCTCCTCTAGTTCTTTTCCATTTAGCTATTTCCCTGTGACTGCAGTGCTAGGGGAGCCAATCTCTCTGCACTGTTTGTGCAGCCCACACAGAGCTCATACTCCCTACTTTAATGATGAAACCAGGATCCCCCTCTCTCCATTCCAGTCTTCCCAAGAAATACACTGCCAAAAAAAAAATGGAACTGCCATAGCCCAACTCTCAATTCCTATGGAATGACTTCCCTATCTCCATCTTGGACCCCCATCTTATCAATTTGGAGATAACAGGTAAATATTTTCCAACTATTTCCAAAATCATATTCTTTCTAAACTATTCTTAGGACACAGAGGATCAGAGAGATTAAATGACTTTTTGTCTAGACTCTCACAGTGAGGAAGCCAAGGACAAATACATAATCCCAGTAGTTTGATGGCTCAAATGATGCTAAAATCACACTTTATTTCCATTTGGACTGGACTGTGGACTCTGTCATGCCCCAAGAACCTCATCATTGTGCAAGATGTCATTAGCCTTGGTATTCATACCTCATTCCTGCCCTCTGCCCCTCTGATTGGACAGCTCCTTCCCAAACCTCCATTTGAGGGTGCCTATACTAACTAACTATTCATTTCCCACTCAGCTATACTCTTTGGATGTCTTCATCACTCTGCCCTACATTGGTTACCTTCTATTCCCTCCCCCTTTCAGCTTTCTTTTAAGTATTGTCTTCCCCGTTAGACTGTAAGCTCCTTGAGGGCAGGGACTGCCTTTTTTTCTATCTATCTTCCCAACACTTAGCATAGTGCCTGGCATATAGTAGGTGCTTAATAAATGTTTGTCAACTGACTATTAATAGACAGCTTTTGCTTAAAGGCTTTTGTTTAAATGTGGAATTGAGAAAGTGTGGATTGAAATCTCATCTTAAACACTTACTGATTATGTGACCATGGGCAAATAACTTAATCTCCTTTGCCTCAGTTTCCTCATCTCTAAAATGGGTAGGGTCTTATATTCAATGGCTTTTAAGGTCCTTTCCAACTCTACCTCTGTGATCCTATGAACTAGAAGGGGGTCACCCTTCTCTTTACAAATGTTTAGAATCACATGGGATCAAATAGTGAGTTTCTTGGGATCAAAAAATCCTTTATGAAGAGAATCTCTCTGAGCAATGGCAGGCAGTCTGGCCTTTTGTCTGCTGGACAGATTGCATTACATTATCACAGCAATAATTAGTCTAAAAAATGTCATTTCTGTGCCAGTGGTGAAAGGAACCTGTCTGGATGTCAATATAAATAGACATCGGCATACTCTGTAGGAAGTTGAAAATATCTCTGAGATTGTGGGTGTTATGTTGGCAAAATAAAGACAGTGAGTAAGCACATATGTTGTTGAAGTCAGCCACAGGCTGCCAGAAACCAGAGCGAAAGGGACAGAAGTGGATATGGGGGTTTTATGAATCAAACATTTGCTTACTGTTCGCTGCAAATACCTGAGATGTGTCTGTGCAGGCTCAGGCCTGGTTTTTATCCTGGGACAGGGTGTGTAAGAAGGAAAACGTGTGCTCCGAGAAGGCGTATGGAATCAGTGCTATTCACAAGTAGCCTGTTTAATTAAAGGGATAATATATTCTGTTCTAGAATGTAGAATTACATCTTAAAGTGACACATATGGAGAGTAAGATGATAACAAATAGGCTAAATGTTCTCTGGCACTTTTTTTAAATAGTGGGTTTTTGCTTTTAAATTTTAAAAAAATTAACAGGCACTTATTTTTTTCTCCCTTCTATCCAATTACCACTAAAAAAAAGAGAAAAAAACACAACTGTCATGACAAGTATGAGTAATCAAGAAAAGAAATTCCAATATTGTCCTTGTCTGAAAATTTATATCTTATTCTGCGTCTCTCTTTCAGGAGCTGGCCAGCACCCATAATTATCAATTCCCTGGAATTGTCATTGGTCATTGCATCGATCAGATGGTTCCTATGTCTTTCAAAAAGTTTGCCATAATAATCTTGTTATAGTATAAATCGTTTTCCTGGTTCTTCTTAATTTACTGTGCACCAGCTCATACAAGTCTTCCTAGGTTTCTCATTATATTCATGTGCCATAATTTTTTTCAGTCATTCCGCAAATGATAAATAGGGTCAAAGGATATGAACAGGTAGTTTTCAAAGGAAGAAAATCCAGGTAATTAACAACCATATGGGAGAAAAAATGCTCAAAATCTCTAATAATCAAAGGAATGAAAATCAAAGCATCTCTGATATTCCCCTCACGTTGTCTGGATGATAAAGTTGACAAAGAACAGATAATGACAAATGCTGGAGGGGCATTGTAAATAAATATTTGCGTACATGTGGGGTAATGCAACAAGTTGTACATGGTAGATTTGCAGTTTTATGGGCAATCATCTGTTTTATTGTACTATGTCATGGAAATGCTTATTTTGTTCTGTAAATTGAAAATAAAATACATTTAAAAAAACTATACCCCAAAAGTTATTACTGAATTGTAAATATACTTTGACCCACTGATACCAATACTATGCCTAAACCCCAAAAAGATCAAAGAAGGATGAAAGGGCCCCATGTGCACACCAGTATTTATTAGTAGCTTTTTTTATAGTGGAGAAAAACTAGATACTAATGGGGTGTCCATGGACTGAGGAAGGGCTGAACAAATTAGAGCATGTGAATCTCTAAAACTTTTAAATGGATACTTCCAATGGCATCAAAAAAAAGAACATTCAAACATACCTCTTCCTTTCCAATCTCAAGAAGTGCATGGGATAATAATTTATGGATATCATAGGAATATTTTTGTCTGGTAGCAAAGACCTGGAAACAAATAGATGCTCCTTCATTAGAGCAGGTAGCATGCACAGTGGAAATTGTACTGACTCTAGTGTCAAAGGATCTGGATTCAAATGCCACCTCTTACCATCTATGTGACCTTGAGCAATTAACTATCGGACCTTGGTATTCTCATCTGTAAAATGGTTACAGTGGATGGCCTATGTGATCCCTTCTAGCTCTTTATGATCCTATTTCTTTCTCCAGTTCATTTTACAGATGAGGAAACTGAGGCAAACAGGGTGAAGTGACTTGCCCAGGGTCACATGGCCAGCAAATGTCCGAGGCCAGCTTTGAACTCTGGAAGATGTATCTCCCTGATTCCAGGCCCTGAGCTCTATCTACTGCACCACTGAGCTGCCCTTTAGCCATTCCCCAGTCCTATGATTGCAGGTGCTTGAGGCTGCCCCAAAAGGATGAATTGGTTGATTTAGATTCTTAGCTGCACCCTTGTTAGAGGAGCCATTTCTTTACATTGGCCTGGAAAAGGAGTCTTCATTGAAGATTCTGGGCTGCTTTTTGCTTGGTCTTTTAGGGAATGCTACAGCTCTGTGTGCTCAGGGGACTTTTTTCCTCCCTCAGCCTGCACCAGGAGAAGCTAACGGCTGCCTTGAGGCAAAAACAGAAGGGAGTCAAATCTGCTCAAGAGGAGAGTCTTTGGATGACCTTCCTTTCTGAGAAGAGTACACAAGAGTGTATTTTCATGGCCCAAGAGATAGCAACACTCAGGGTGGTCCTTGAAAAGCACACATGAATTTTGTGTGCTGGCTTTAGGAGCCTGAGTAGAGGATTTAAGGACAAGTCCTTCCTGAGCCACCGGCAGCTGGTTATGGAAGGAAGAATGTTCTAGGTAGCCTGTTCCTGGAACAAGAACCTTCTAGTCAAAAGAAAGATTTCTTGGGCAGTGCTCCCCAGGGGGATTGTTTTGGTAGTAATCCCAAATTCAAGAATTAGGAGATCTACCATTTGGCTGAAAAGAAGGGGACTTTCCAGAGCAGAATGGGTGGAGGACCTTCTTAGTAAAGGGCCTTCTTAGAGGTCACATGGGTAACCACATGACCTCTACAGCTAAAGGACTAAGGCTTCAATATGAAGTGTCAAAGGGCCTTGGCTTTGCTCCCTGGTGATAGAATAAAAGTCCTAGAGAGGCAGTATGGAACAGTAGAGAGAATGCTGGATTTGGAGTTGGAAGTTCTAAGTTCAAATCCCACCTCTGCTATTACTGATTATCCATGAGACCTTATACAAGTCTTTTCACTGCCTTGGGTCCAATTCCCCATCTGTAAAATGGGGGGGGGGGGTGTTGGACTAGAGGTCCCCTGAGATTATTTCCAGTTCTAAATATATGATCCCATGACCCTACATATTATCTGGGCAGTGTAGGTCTTATGAGAAGGAAGTCAGCTATCTGGCAGCTCCAAAGTTAAGTTTCCCTTCTAGGGAAGTCCAAATCACAGTGGCAATATGAGTTTGGAGGGAAACTGTGCCAGTTCCTGTGGTAGAGTAGCCCCAGCAGCTCCCCCCAATTCAGTTTCTGTCCAAGGAGACTCCCTACTAAGAAATGTGATTGAGTCTGAGGAATTGTAGGACTCTGTGAAGAGTGAAACCCATCAGAGAGAGAAGAGAATTGGGGGAATTGTGTTGATTTTTCACGGGCTATTAAAAATCCCTTTATGAGTTTTCTACATTTATTTATGGACTCCCGAGAGGCTTACTAGTTCCATGTGTTTTCTGAAAGGTCAAATAAAGACTGTTCTGTATCCAATACTACTGTTGCCTTGAGTACTGTGTGGGAGATGGACTGTGCTAAACCCTTTGGAAATATCGTATTTAATCCTCAGACAACCTCGGGAGGTAGCTAAATTAGGGGCAAAGTCCAAACGCCTCATTTTGCAGGAGGAAAGAGACACAAAGAGTGTCTCTAAACAGCTTGTCTAGGTTCAACCCATCAGTAAGTATTAGAAGCAGGATCTGAACCCAGATCTTCATGACTCCAAGACCAGCACTATCCATTAGAGGTGGCAACCTATTTGTAGAGGCATAGGTAGGAACTGTATTTGCAGATTTTCCCAGAGTAAATCCTGAGTACTCTTACCAAGAAACCACATTGCCTCCAAGCAAAGTCACTGAACAAACACAAATCTTTTCTTGCTGTCCTTAACATTCTCCTGAAGTTCCCACATGGCTGTGAATCAGGCTACATCACTATCTCCCTCGCCAATGGAGTCTGACAGTGTATGCAATATTCCATACCCATAGTCTCCCACTTCTGCAGAGAAGGGAAGAAGATCTACTTTTTTAATCCCTCCTTTGGGACTAAGTTTTATCATTTTAATTACACAGAGTTCAGAGGTTTTGGCAGAGAGAAAGGGGCTGTCACTAAATCAGTAAGATCTGCATTGAAGTCAGACAACATACTAGCTATGTTGTCACTTTTGCAGGACTGAGGTTGCATCTGCATTGGTAGAAGGAATTCCTCAGAGGAAGTTGCCTCCTATACCCAATGAAATTATGTGTTTGTTTGTTTGGTTGTTTTCTAATCAAAATCTCTGGGTGAGGACAACGAGTCAGAGTGATCTTTGCACAGACCAAATCTAGTCTTGGGAATGGTCCATAAAACCAGAGCTGGGCACAGAGTCATAAGTCAACAAGCATTTATTAAGCACTTACTATATGCCAAGTACTTTGCTAAACTCTGGGAATATGGTTGGTTGTTGTCTTTCATGATTGAAGAGGTCCAGAATGACATCACTACATTAGAGTCAAGTTTCAGTACGTCCATTTGGGGTGGGGTGGGGTGGGGTGCACATTTTGTGTTTCTTTTGAGCTACTTTAATTCTGCCTTGCTCATAGAGCACAGCACCTTCTATGATGAGTGCAGGTCATGCTGGGTAGTCCTGTGCCAGTGTCTCCCATGTCACACAATCAATTACAAAGTTCTTAAGAAAGACCTTGAAAGTGTCCTTGTATCACCCTTTTCTGACCGCCACATAAGTGCTTGCCCTGTGTGAATTCTCCATAAAATAGTCTTTTTGGCAAGCGTACGTTTGGCATTAGAACAACATGGCCAGCCCATTGGAGTTGTGCTCTCTCCAGTAAACTTTGGGAATATAAATATAAGCAGAAAGAAAGATAGTCTCTGCCCCCAAAGAGCTTACATTCTAATGGGAGAAGATAAAGCATAAAAGGAACTAAAAAGGGGGTTGGGGAGAGATAAAGGAACTCACAGGGCCATTGTAGAGAAAATCCAGGAAAGTCAGCACAGCCTGGAGAGAAATGAAGACATGGATGGTTTGGATTGGCTCCTTGAAATGGAGGTTCTGGGAAGAACCAGCCAGGGAGAGGCTCCAGGGCCAGAGGATACTTCCAACGTGAAGTCTAGGGGTGGAGTAAATGTCCAGGGTGCAGATGTTTTAGGACATCGTAGAGAAAGTCTGGGAGAGTTAGGAGTGTATCCTGGAGAAGCCAAAGGTTACATAATCTGAACACAAAGTCGAAGAGTTTTTCTTCCTTCTATTGGGAAAGATGAAATTTTTTTTCACCAAACTAAATATGCAGCATCTATAGACGTTTGAGTACTGTGATCTCCAATGCTATTTCTTCAGGGTACGGCCAGTGGTCTTAGGCTGTCTTGTAGACTCCTATTCTTCTCTATGCCAGTTCCCACACACTCCTGAATTGTCTCTCTGCCATCTCTTGGTCAGGACTCAAAGGATGCCCAAGCACTCCCTCTTGAAAATGACCATAACTTTCCATGGCGATACTCCTCTGGCTGGCCCATACCCCTCCCTCCTGCCAATGCTGGCACGCGGTCAGCAGCTGCTGGGGAGTATGTTCCCCCTCCTGGCCCCTTCACTGAGAGGACCTTTTACATCATCTACAATCTGTACTGATCTCACTACGGGGGATTTAAACTCACTTAACAACTCCTGGTCAACAGTTCAGTGACTAATTTCCAAGCACTCCTTTTCCCAGGTATCTCTGTCTGGGGATCTAGAAAGGCTTCTGAGTTTTAGGCAGCTCATATAATGCAGTCACTGCATCTTTTAAACAAAATTTAATAAGCATTAATTTTCTCTTCCTCCTACCTCCTCCCACACTGGAAAAAAAAAGACAGAAAAAAAGAATAACAAAATCCTAGTAACAAATTGCATCATTTTTTCTTTATGCCTCCCCCTGTGTTTATCTCCTCTCCAGGGAGTCATAGGATTAGAGAACCATAGAATTAGGACTGGAAGGACCTCAAAGGTCATCTAGTGTACTCTCTCCTCCCCTACCCCATCCCCACGCTTAAAGATGAAGAAATTGAGGCCCAGAAAGGGCCTTACCCAGAGGCCCAAAGTCACTCAGTGTTAGGCTTGGGATTTGAATTCAGGTCCTCTGAATCCATGGACAGTTAGGTGGTGCAATGAATAGAGTGCTGGGCTTGGAATCAGAAAGATTTATCTTTATGAGTTCAAATCCAGCCCCAGATACTTACTGCTGTGTGACTCTGGGCTAGTTACTTAACCCTGTTGGCCTCAGTCTCCTCACATGTAAAATGAGCTAGAGAAGGAAATGGCAAACCACTCCAGTACCTTTGCCAAGAAAACCCAAATGGAGTCACAGAGAGTCACATACAACACAATCAAAGTTGCTTCTATTTTACAAATGACATTAGCTCTTGGTTTTGAATATATATGCATTTGGTCACATAAAAAAAGAGCCTTCTATGCCTATAGATTTTGGGATTTTTAATATAAATGAATGTTATATTTTTGTCAAAGGCTTTTTTCCCCCTGCAGCTACTAAAATTATGTGGACTGCTGTAATAAGCCAAGGGGAGTATGTTACAGCAGGACCAAGGTTGTTTATTATGATTCATCAGAATTTAACTATCTTTTAACGTTGTTATCATTTATGTTACTAAAGTCATGGTACATATTGGCCAAGATGGAAATCTATAAAGCAATGTTATCCCTGAAAATAGGAGAGGTCTTGCTGTATGTCACATGAGTCCTTGGCTAAAGATACCAAAAGAATCAGTCCAGAGATACCCATGCTATTCCATATATATTTGCATTTGGAAGAACAAGCTATGCATTGTGGCCATCTGTTATCAACTGGGGTGGACTCAGTATACGCAAACTAAGGTTAAGATTAGTCTAAATACAATATCATCAGGAAAAGGTAAATTAGTTTTAAACACCAAAGACAAATAGGACTTGGAATTGTCTGCTTTCCTAGACAGCGTGGGGCCAGAGACCGATCCCTGGGACTCTCCACTAGAGATAATATCATCTCCAAGCTGAAATTGATCCATTATTGCACAAGATGAGGAAACTGACGCTCAGAAAAGTTGCATGACCTAGTCATGGCCACATAATACGTTTTAGAGGCAGAATTTATCAGCTCACTATCACATCCTCCACGGTATCTCTTCCAAACCTTTCAATTTGAGGGAATTGAGGGGATTAGGATAGTAAGTGGTTAATTGTGGGAATTGAGTGAACCACATTGACCCCATCTTGTGATTCAATTCTGGAGCTAGCTCAGTTCCAATTCTGTTCAATTATGGGTCTAGTCCAACTTCTGTCTTGTGAGAAAATTGTATTCTATTGTAGGAGTTGGAAGAAAATTTTGTTGTATGTTTTTGAGCCTATTCCTGAATGGCTGGAAAGCTAGACCACCTTTACCTATTGCTGAGGGACCCTTAATTAAAGACCTAGGTTATGTTGACCCAATCAGTACCAAAGATTGATGCAAGGAGTTTTCTCACAGCTGTACATCTCAAGCAGTCCATATGTCTTATCTGAAAACTGTTCCCATACTAATCAATCAGTTATTGCTGCCATGCTCCTTTGATTGTTTACAGACACTTGAGGGGAGTGGGCCACCTCTTTTTCTGAATTCAGGGAATTATACCTGTTTGCTCTCCCCCTCCCAACTTAGAAAGTCCCTAATTTTTCATGCAGTTAGAAATCATATTACCTAATGTTGTATTGTTTCCTTTTGATGAATTGGTCTTATTTGGTTGTTTTTAATGTATACAAGTCTGTCTCCTCCTGTATTCAGGTCCAGCCTTAAGCTAAAGAAGGGGCCCCGGTCCAAATTTCTTAGGCAATTGGCATTCATTGCTTGATAAATCAATGCAAAACCTCCCATGATTCCTCTTCATGCCATTCTCTCAGCTGAAAACCTTGTCTCATGTTTTACTGAAAAAAAAAAGAGAGTATTTGCTGTAAACTCCTTCTCCCCTCTTCCTCATCTCCTATCACTCAGATGCTGTCTACTACTATCTCCTCCTTCACCCTTATATCAATCATGAAATGGCCTCACTGCTTACAAAGGCTTATCCCTCTATCTGATCAAGTGATTCCATTGCATCACATCCCCTCTAATAGATTGCCCCCTCTGTCATCCCTACTCTTTCACTTATTTTCAATCTCTCCTTGTCTATTGGCTAATTCCCTATTACCTACAAACATGCCCATGTCTTCTACATCTTGAAAAAATCTTCACTTGATTCTTCCATCCCCACTATTAATAGCTCTTCTGCCCTTTGTAGCTAAATTCCTCAGAAAGGTTTAAAAGGTCATCAACTTCCATTTTTTCTCCTCTGACTCTCTTCTTGACCCCTTACAATATGGCTCCTTTCCTTATCATTCCACCAAAACTGCTCTCTCCAAAGTTACTAATGATCTCCTAGTTGCCAAAACTAATGACCGTTACTATATCCTCATTGTCCTTGGCCTCTCTTCAGCCTTCCACACTACTGATCATTCTCTCCTCCTTGACACTCTCTTCTCTCTGGGTTTTCAGGATACCACTGTCTCCTGGTTCTCTTCCTACCCATCTGACTACTCCTTCTCCATCTCCTGGCTGGATCCTCTTCCATATCCACAGGTGTCTCTCGGGATTCTGTCTTGGACCTTCTTCTCTCCTTTATACTACTTCACTTGGAGATCTCATAAACTCCCATGGATAATTAAATCCATGGTAATTAAGTCATCTCTATGCTGATTATTCCCAAATCTACTTATCCTGCCCCAAATTCACCTCCAATCTTTCATCTCCAACTGTCTTTCAGATATCTTGAACTGGATGCCCAGTAGACTGCTTAAGCTTAATTTGCCCAGAGAGAACTCATTTTCTTTTCCCCTAAACTTTCTCCCCCTCTTACGTTCCCTATTACAATAGAAGACAACAGCATCCTCCCAGTCCCTCAGGCTCACAACCCAGGAGTCATCCTGGATTCTTCACTGTCTCTTACACATCATATCCAATCTATTGTCAAGGTCTCTTCATTTCACCTTTGCAACATCTCTCAACTATCCCTCCTTCTCTCCTCTCAGACCGAAGCCATTCTAGTGCAGGCCCTCATTATCTCACGTCTGCATTATTGCAATAGCCTACTGCTGGGTTTGCTTGCTTCAAGTCTCTCCACTCCAGTGCATCCTCCATGCAGCCACTAAAGTGATTTTCCTAAAGTTCAGGTCTAATCATGTCATTTCCCAACTCAATAAACTCCAGTGGCTCCCTGTCACCTCCAGAATTAAATACAAAATGTTTTGTTATTCAAAGACCTTCAAAGTCCCCTCCTACTTTCCAATCTTCTTAAGCTTTACTCCCCCAAAGTAATTTTTATCCAATAATACTGGCCTGGAACACTCTCTCTCCTTCACTCTCTGATTACTGACCTCCTTGGCTTCCTTTAAGTCCCAACTGAGTTACCATCTTTTACTGGAAGCCTTCCCCAATCCCTTTTTATTCTAGTGCTTTCCCTCTGTTAATTATTTCCTATTTATCCTGTATAGAGCTTGTTTTGTATATATCTGTTTGCATGTCATCTCCCCCATTAGATTGTGAGCTGCTTCTTCTTCTTCTTTTTTTTTTTTAGATTGTGAGCTTCTTGTGGGCAGGAAGTATCTTTCACCTCTTTTTATATCCTTAGCATTTAGTACAGTGCCTAGCAAATAACAAGAACTTAATGAATGTTTATTAATTGATTGACTAAAATTTGAACCAGCTTTCAATTACAGTCTTTCCACTCTGCCACATGCTTCCAAGTCAAGTCATTGATGTAGGAACGAACACAGATGCCTTTCTTACTGTCCATAACATTCTCCTGGAGTTGTCACATGGCTACTAATCACATTTCTCCACAGATTCTAAAGCATATAAATTGCAGGTAACCAGAGGTGATACATGGTGACCATAAGTAGTCACAAGCAACGACTTGTGAATAAAAAATGGCATCACAGATATCATCCATTATATGTGTGACTGGAAAAGGAGATGGACCATTTATGTAAAAAGAATGAGTGATAATCTTTGAAAGATTATAGAATATGACCAATTATAACTTCCTAAGACTGATAATGAAGTATGCTTCCCACTTCTCAGCAGAGAGGTAGGTGATGGAGGAAAGATACAGAAAGAGCCATACGTTTTCAGACACGGCCAATGTGTAGACTTGTTTTGCTTGACTATACTTATTTGTGACAAGAGAGAGAGGTCTTCAGCGGGGCAGCTAGGTGGCATAGTGGATAGAGTACCAGCCCTGAATCAGGAGATCCTAAGTTCAAATCTGACCTCAGACCAAACACTTGACACTTACTAGCTATGTGACCCTGGGCAAGTCACTTAACCCCAATTGCCAAAAAAAAAAAAAGATAGAGAGGTCTTCTTCAGGGATGGCAGGGGGAGAGAAGGGAGAAGGGAGTTGTAGAGAAATAGGGATACAAAAAGAGAAGAAATGAAAGAAGCATTAATGAGACATTTGAAAATAC